CGGTGACTTTTATAACTCGCGCTCATTGCCGTCGATTGCTGCTGACGTTCCGTAAGTAATTACCAGAATACACTGCCTCCGACTTTTAGAATACTTGGCGTTTTTGGAGTTCTGCGGCTTCGTGGCAGTTACCTACCAATCACTGAAAGTTAGCAGGAGTGTTCGGCCTTTCGCTTTTGTCAAATACTGATGTGTGCACATGGAGTAAAAGTCCCTAGGCCAGGTCATTTCCGGTCCGGTCCAGTAGTTGAAGCGCATACTTACTCCAAAGTTTAGCATATTTAGAGGAATAACCGTATAATATTCAGTCTGTCCTGCTTCCAGACACATTTCATTGACCCTGTGACCCTCCTCCACACAGTCGTAGTAAGACTTTTCAGGTTATGTCTGGACATTCGATTTTTCAATTTCACTGTACAAATGACTCGCATTCTGCAGTGTCTCATTTTTCCAGTCAAATCCCCAGATAATATTGCCGGAATATATATTGTTTTCACCAAACAGAGATAGCATGTCATCTTCCTCTCCTCTGCTCTATCGAGACTAATTTTTAAACATGACATTTGGATTCTTTTTTGATAGGTCAATAGAACTTCTATTTCCAATATTAAGCGTTCCATCGCCGATATGGGCATTGATGTGAGCGCGCAGAAGAAAAAACGACCCCGTTCTTACAACTCCCGCACTTTAGCTGAGCAGAAATTGTGCATAGATACCTTTGAACGTTGGTCTGACCAGGACCAGGTTGAATTTCTCTGCTGCCTTCTCTCCCGTATGTCACATTCACAACACAGCCAAATCAACAAACTCCTCGAGCCCCTCCTTCAGCGCGACTTTATCATTGCACTGCAGGGTGAGCTGAATTCAGCGTTTTAATTTTCTATCTACCTACTTGCATTTTTTTGTTAGTTGTCCAGGCCACATGTAGTTTTATTGACTTTCTGTGCGCTTCAACTGAGGTCACGACAGATTCTGGCCTGCCATGGGGTCAGCGATTGTGTACTCACTCACTAATTTTGTCATCGTCGAGGTCATTACAGGAAGTCTCCACCAAACGAATTCAGCTACTTCTTTGTCGCTTCCGTGGCAGTTAGAAGTTGGTTGTATTCAATTTGTTCATATCGTCATGCCGTGAATGGCTAATATTTGCTGCTGTTTGCGGGTAACATGCTCTAGTCAGCGGGGATCAGGCTGAGTGCTTATGCATCCTATGCAGACGTCAGCATCGAATATACAATCACATGGATAAATGAGACAAGTGGGCAATGCACACCTTGATTGAAGAGGCCCCGTTTACGTCTACCTTTTATTAAACTGTCAGTATCTGCATGAAGTGTGAACGTCAGCAAGAGAACTGACTCATCGGTGTCTTGTCTTCCTATAGTCGATCCATGCAACTGATTTGCGTTTGTATACCTCGTTTTTTGTCCATCGCAAACATTCGTTCGAGGACAGCAAACTGCTGTCTTGCTGCAATTGACACACTTTGCCTTTGCATTGCCAAGGTCAGACTTCTCGATCGCCTCTGTTTGAATAAACGGTCGCGGTGGACCAGGCACATCAATGCTACCAGGGCCGCGAAGTTCCTTGGTGGCATTGACCTGCTTCTATTAGACGAGCCCTTTTATTGCCGATGACTTATTTTTTGGTTTTGGAGACTGCAACTGCTGGAAAATCGTCTGAGCGTTGTTGGGGAGATTTCTATTGACACTGAGATCCGTTACTTCAAGCAGAGTGGTAATACGAGCTTAAGTGCCATAAACCAGTGTGTTGAACGATCGCATACCAACCTTTCCGCGTGCGTTTCCCAGACAGTAAGGCATGCATGCCCTCTATTGGACGTTTTCATGGAAACATGCTGGTGTTGCGAGTTGTTCAGCGCCTCTGTGTCGAGTTAACTTTCATCATTGCATCAGGCTCTGGTTTTTATATCTAGGTGTCGGTGACCGAGTTACGGGAAACCAGGCTATGTGATGGTCCGTCCATCGTGATTGGCGATAACCAACTTTGCGATCGAGGTTTTCTACACGGCTCCTGTGTGATGTAGCTTTGGTATACACTCATGCAACCTTATGGGTAAATTTCAAAACCCTTGATACATAATAAGAAAAAAATAGGCCAGGCTCGCGTGGCAGCCTTTGACAGGATGTTAGCGGATGTATTAATGCGTTGGCTTTTTACTTTTT